CAGCCAGAGGAGCATGAAGTGAGACACCGCAGCCTTTCAGGATCTCACAGCTAAGAAGATGAGCAGATTTGTAACGCTCTGCGCCCTCACAAGGTTACAGCGCCTCACTCCAAGTCAGCAGCCAGCGCCTCCGCCGGGGCCTGACAGGAAACACGCCGCCTCCGTCAGACTCTGGAGGTCGAGTAGAAACCTGCGCTCAGGACAGGAGGCCGGTTGACACCTCAGAAAGCAGCGAGCGCAGGCGGGTTAAAGGTGACACGACGAGCAGCTCTGCCGTCATCAGGGGTTGTCGGGGAGGTCAGAGCTGCCGACAGACGTGACTTTATCCTCGCCACGACTTTACTTTTAGTCTTCACACACTGTTCAACCTGCTGCTCTGCTGTCACATCCTCTTTAAAGGTACAGCTCCCCTGCAGCTTCCCTTAATTAGGGTGAGACCACTGTATCGGTTTGCCAAAAATATCAGGGCGATGACGAAGGGTCCTGCCTGCGCTGTGAAAAATGAAACTTTTTAAACTGTAACACTTTTAAACATTTACTGTTGTTTTACAGAGTTTTGCTGATTTGTTAAATTAGAAAAAGTAACAAGTCAAATCACAGAAAAATAGTAATAATTTGTAAGTGAACTATAAAAATGATTAATAATGTCCACATCAAAGAGTCTGTAGTTTTACAAATGGTGATTCTCTATTTTTTGAAAACATTTGACCATAAAATTTGAGTTTTTACTGTATTTAAATATGCAAAATATCATTATTTTACATGTATTTGCTGGTGTTTGAAAGAAAATGTGTTTATATTAAGGATTGAAAATATGAATAATTATTTAAACTACAAGTGTTGTTAAATTACAGAAAATGAATAATTTACAAGTTGACTATAAAACCATACGGAAAATCCTTATTCTACAGATATCTGGTATTTTTTCACCGTTTTTAAACAGATTTTTTTTGACAGTCTAACTACGGCTTGGTGTTGTCAATTAATTACATAAAGTCGAGACATTTTCAAGACTGGTGTGGGGTACCGGAAACCTGATTTCCCTCTTTGTGACCCTTTCAAAAAGTCATTTTAAGAAAAAAAGAGATTTTGTTTTTTTTTGTCAGATTGTTTCATTTGATACTTAAAGAAGCAAAACCATCAATGGCATAAGACAAAACAGTAATCATAAATGGTGGTAAGTGATTATTAAACCCGCAGCCTCTCAGATTTAACTTAAACAGCATTATTTTAGCTGCGACTTATGTTCAAACTTTAGTCTTAATGATCAACATCCTACTTTTGCTCTCCATGTAAGCCCTTAAAACGAAGCAATGTCTCTCAGCTGCATGTGACATTTGCCGTATGCTTTCATTAAAGGCATAAAACAGTGAAACTATTCCATACTTCGCATTGGGGAAAAAAAGTACAATGAGAGAAAAATCAGTTGAGGAGACAAACTGTGGTTGGAAAATTAGGATGCTTTTTTTTCCCCTCTTCTGTTTGCTAAATAAACCTGTGACCTCTCAGGTTCATCTCAGGAAGTAGCTTCACCCTGCTGACAGTACCTGGACACCAACATTAACCAATGTTTAGATCTTATGACGCCTTAAAAGTGAAGCAGCATTTCTTTGCTGCTAACTTGTCACAAATTGCATGTGCCATTTTAACCCAACAGTGATTTCCCTTTGTCAGACTGTTTCAGTAGAGACACAAAAAAGTTAAACTATCCAGTATTGTACATGAATAACAAAGGTCAGAGAAAAATTAGGACAAAAAACATGCGTTCTAGTCACATAATCAGGCTTTCTCTCCCGTTAGCTGGAGAATCTTGTGATCTCTCAGGTTTATCTCAGAAACTTGCTTCACCTCGTCAACAGTGACTGAACACTAACGTTATGTAATTATTTGGCCTTGTGACCCCTTAAAATAAAGAAACAGCTCTCCTACGCGTGTCGTTTCAACATGGAATTGATTCGTCTTTGTCAGATTGTTTCAGTATTTCGCACTTCTCCTGATACCTGCTTCTCCCTGCCGGCAGTAACAACATTTCTCTGCTGCAAACTTGTCACAAGTTGCATGTGCGATTTCAAACCAAGAAGTGATTTCTGTTTTGTTTTTTTGGGTTGGATTATATTGTTAAAGGTGTAAAGAAGTAAAACTAACACGAGAAAAGTGCAAAACCTCTGAGCAAATTAAAAACAAGAAACCTAAACGGTGGCAGCTCATTCGTTTCCGCCTCTCAGATTTGTCTTGTAGCCCCTCGAGGACGTCCCAAAACAGAAACCTGCTTCAGCCCGTGTGCAGGAGCTCAATGCTGTCTGACTGAATGAAGGAGCAACAAACTCCGTCAGCAGCCGCCTGATCGTGTGTCATTTCAACAAAATCGTTCTGTCTTTGTTAGATTGCTACATTGCAGACAAAAAAAGGTCCAAACATCCAGCATTTCATGAGAAAAGTCACAAATTAGCATAAATGTCATCATTACTAGAAGCTCTTTTGGCCTTTCAACACCAGTCTGCTGGATTTCATTTGCATTGAGCAGCATCCATAAAACTAGTCTAACCTAACTTAAAACACAGCAAACTCTATTGACAGCATGGGTTGCATGTGTCATTTCAACAAAAGTGCTTCTTGTCAGATTTGAGACACAAAGAAATCAAAGTATCCAGTATTTTAAGTCACAAATTAGATAGACGGGGAGGTTCCAAGACAGAAACCTGCTTCAGCGCGCAGGAGCTGAACTAACGCTCTCAAACTTCAAACACAGAAAGGTCTATCTGCAGCAACTTTGTCATATGTTATTTTAACAAATGTGGCTTTTCTTAGATAGATTGTTACAATAGAGACACACAGAAATTAGAAATATCCAGTATTTTATGAGAAAAAGTCACAAAGTAGGTAGATGTATTCACAGATGAAGGCGTCCAGAGACAGAAACATTGTAAAAGACAGTCTGCGCTGGAAGCTCGTTTGGTCTTTTAACACCAAATTCAGCCAAAACCTGCAGTGGATTTCATTCTCATCGAGTTGCATCCATGAACTTCTGTCCATCTTAATCTAAACACCACTCTGGTCACGTGTTGCATATGTCATTACAACGAGAGAGAAAAAAGATTATTCTTTGTCATATTGTTTCATTACAGACACAAAGAAGTCAAAATATCCAGTAGCTGATGTCAAAAAGTCACAAGTTAGATAGATATATAGATAGATAGAGGCGTCCCCGGTCAGACACACTGTAGGAGCAGGAATACAGTCAGTACCGGAACCTCTTCTGTCCTTTAAACACCAATTTCAGTCAATACCTGCAGCTGATTTCACTTAATATGAGCTGCATCCATACAGTTCTAAGTTGAGTTAAAACACAGACGTGTACAGTAGCAGCAGCCTGGTCATGTGTCATTTAAACAAAATTGTCGTTTCTTAGTCAGATTATTACATCAGAGACACAAAGAAGTCACAATTCCAAATAGCTGATGAGAAAATTTCACAAATTTGATTGTTGTATCGATACATGGGGGCATCCCAAGACACACACCTGCTACTTAACACTTTAATTTAAACACAGAACAGCCTATCAGCAGCATCCCGCTCATGTGTTGCATGTGCTTCACAGCAAAAGTGACTTTTCCTTGTCAGATTGTCTCAGTAGAGATACAAAGAAGTCAAAACATCCAATATTCAAAAAGACAAAAAGAGACAAATCAGGTAGATGTATTCATAGATGGAGGCGTCCCAAGACAGAAACATTGTAGGAGTATGAATGCAGTCAGGACGAAAAGTTCTTTTGGCCTTTAATCATTAAATTCAGTCAGAAGTTACAGTGGATTTTTTTTTTTGCATGTAGTAGCATCTGTAAACTTCTAGCTTCACTTAAAATGCAACAGGTTCAATCAGCAGCAGCCTGCTCATGTGTTGCCGGTGTTTTTTCAACAAAAGTGACTTTTTCTTGTCAGATTGTTTTAATAGAGACACAACAAAGTCAGAATATCCAGGATTGTACTCAAAAAGAGTCACGAATTAAACAGATATATTGATAGGAGTATTAATGCAGACAGGACTGGAAGCTCTTTTGGGCTTTAAATGAGTTCAGCCAAACCCTGCAGTGGATTTAATTTGCATGTAGAAGTATCTGTAAACTTCTAACTTTACTTGAAATGATCTATTACTAGCTGCCTGTTCATGTGTTTATGTGTGATTACAACAAACGTGTCTTTTCTTTGTCAGATTGTTACATTACAGGCACAAAGAAGTCACAGTTACTAATATTTCATGAGAAAAAGTCATCAATTTGATGGATTTATAGATAGATAGAGGCGTCCCAGGACAGAAACATTGTAGGAGGAGGAGTACAGCCAGTAATAAAAGTCCTTTTTAGCCTTTAAACAGCAATTTCTGTCAAAACCTGCAGTGGGTTTCATTTGAATTCAGTCTCCTTCTGACTCAACTTCAAACACAGCATAGTCTGTTAGCAGCTGCATGTGTCATTTCAACCAAAAAGTAGCTTTTTCATTGACTGTTACAGAGAAGTCAAAAAAAGCTGTATTTGGTGAGAAGTCACAAATGAGATAGTTGCACCAAACACCAGTCAAACTCTGCAGTGGACTTCATTTGCAGTGAGTTGCGTCCATGTACTGCTGTCTAACTTCACTTAAAACACTGCAAGGTCTACAAGCAGCAACTTTGTCAAGTGTTGCATGTGTCTTTTCAACAAAAGTGTCTTTCATAGTCAGATTGTTACATTAGAGAAGTCCAAATACCCAGTATCTTATGGGAATACGTCACTATTTAGACAGACCAACTGTATAGGAGTCTTCAAACACCAAACACCAAACACCACTCAAATCCTGCAGTAAATTGCCTTTGCACCCTAAAACCTGTAGTTGCATGAAAGTAAAAGCTGCAGCAGAACCTGACCTGCAACAGTAAACCTGTGTGAGCTCCTACTGAGGCCTGACAGGCTTCAAACAGCTTCCAAACACACCTGAACCCACGCAGGTCCAGAGTGACTCTCTTACCTTCCAAGCAGCACGTCCTCCACAGGCCCGAGTGGGTCATCACCTCCTCGTTCTTCTTGCTGGTCTCGTTCTCGCTCATGGACTTTGTCTTGCAGACGCCGCGGGAGTACAGCCAGTAGTCCGTGCCGACCGCGATGGTCATGAGGCTGAAGGCCGCGAAGGCTCCCACCGTGGTCAGCAGCATCTGGACTCCGCGGTCGAACAGCCCCATGTTTCCGCATTCCATGAAAGGGGGACCCCCTTTCCTCTTGATGTACAAGAAGTAAATATTTGAAAATTTGCGGGACCAAACCAAACCGAAAAAACGGGATATACTCGTGCGGAAGGAGAGGGAAGAAGGAGGAGGAGGATGCGGTAGGAACCTTATGGTTGCGTTTGGGTGAGGACCGAATCAAGAGAAAAAACTGAGGCCGGTTTGTTGGAGGGGGGAGAGGAGGAGGCGGCGGTGGTGGTGCCTCTCCTCTCTGGTACTTTTTTTTTCTTTAACACCCAAACTGGATAAAGAGGACGGAAGCAGCTCAGTAGGCCTGTAGCTGCAGATGTAGCAGCGAGAGCAGCTCCAAATGTGAACAAAACCACCGAGCTGCGAGGGGATTAACTCTGTCCTGTGGAGCTGTGCGTAAAAACGCACCAAAAGTGAGGTTTTGTTCTTCAGAAGGGGGGGAGGAAACAACCTGTTTGTTGACTTGTGGAAGGTTACAGCTGATTTACATGAGCTCAAATGGAGCAGAGAGGGGGGGAGAGGGGTGTTAGATTAATGGCAGGCTTACAGTACAACAGTTCAATACGTCTGTTACAATGAGTTAGTCAAAAGGCGAGAACATTGCGCGTTCAGAACTGCAGCTATCTTAAAGTCTAGTATTAGTAGTAGTTGTATTATTATTATTGGTATTATTATTATAGTGTGATTCTAGAGGTTAGTCAAAAAAGGGAGAAAAGCAAAGAGGTGATAAACTGGGGAGGGAAACAGGCGAATCTATCATAACAGAAGAGAGTAAACAAATGGACCGATTCAAGTCCAGTCGAGAGGAAAAGAAAAAAGCGAATCCCTGGTGTTTTATAACCGCCTATTGTAGGGGTTCAAAGAAAATCTCACAAATCAAGCCGGTGGAATGAGGAAATCAAGGCTCAACGACTAAATTAATTCATCAGCAGGCGTGAAAAGACCAAAGAAAAATCCGTTAAAAAAAGAAAAGAAATTTTAAAAAATTAACCGCTTAGATTTTCCTTTTTCCTAAAATTTTGATCCCCAGTTTCCATATGTAGCCCTATAGCTCTGGAAAGCTTTCCGCCGAAAATGGGGGTCTGCGGTCAGAGGAGGTTCGGTCGTCGACGATCCGGAGAGAGCGGGGAGCATCCAGCAAGGCAAGCCGACCATCACTCGACATGGAGCCGGCAGGAGGAGGACGAGGAGTCGGTGTGGGCGCCGCCGCCGCAGCCGAGGACGCTGGTTCGGTGGATGGAGGAGGAGGATGCCGCCGCCGCTGCTGCTGCTGCTGCTGCTTCTGCCGCTGCTGCTGCTTGGAAATCCAAATTCACCGTGGCAGTATCACACCCAGGACGGTCCCGTTTGTTTAGCCCTTGCGCCATGTAATAGGAAGAGAAAATAAATTGTGATGAACGCTGCGATCCCTCCTGGTTTCCCCTCCTCCTCCTCCTCCTCTTCCTCTCTGCTCTCCGTGCGCTCTCGGATGCAGGTTTGGCTGCTTTGCAGAAGATGATATATTTATATATATATAAATATATATATATAAATATATAAATATAGAAAATCCTATATTACACAATCAGGAGAGCGCACAAGATCCACAGACACGGGAGCTGTTGCTGGTGTCACGATGTCAGTGCGTCCACTCCAGCCTCTTTATTCCGCCGCTCAGTGATGTCAAGCTGCTCTCAAATCGGAGTTTTTCTGCTTCTTCTTCTTCTTCTTCTGGCGACGCTTTAAAGGCCCACAGTGTGTGTCTGTCTGCGTGTGTGTGTCTGTGTGTGTGCGTGTGTATGTGTGTGTGTGTCCGCGCTGCAGCAATGGAGGCTGGAAAGATATTAAAGATTTTTTAATTCCGTTTCTGTGAGTGGTGGAGGGGGCGGAAAGAGGGGGTGGTGGACTCTCTCTCTCTCTACTCTCTTCTTCTTAAATGGTGGATCACTGGGTTGCATTTGTGCGCACATGCAGGCTGAGATTTATTATTATTATAATTATGGTTAATATTATTATTATTACTACTGTCCGATCCAATTGTTGCAGCATCCTCTCCTGCGCTCTTCTCTGCGCAGACTTCCACTAATATCTGCGGATTTTTAGGTTAAAGACACACATCTTTGCTCTGATTCTCCATGAATGAAAATCAGCAACGGTGCAGGGAGGAAGCTCAGGGGCATTTTTGGTGATTCTGGGAGTCAGAGTTCCTGAATTCAGCCTCAAATTCATGATATTTCTTGTTCTAAACCTGACTGATGAATGTGAGTGTGTGGTGCTGAACGGACAGCTCCGCTCTGCCTCAGTGGACTTTGGCTCCACCTGCTGCTCAAACGGTTTAAACACAAGTAATGCAATCGGGGGGGGGGGGTTATATGTGTATAATCTACATATAACTTTCTGCATTAGTTGGTTTAAAACTACATTGAAGTTGAGGCAACTTAATGAAATCGGCTTGATAGCTTCAAATTTCTTCAGGTTTGAGTTCAGGATTTCGAGTCCTCTCCTATATCTTAACACTGCCGGACAATTTCAGAGAGTTTAAGCTAGTAGTTAATAACACTATAATCTTTTTTCAACACCAAGCCTATTTGGACAATGTACATGGCATTACATAAGTAATGACGGAATAACCCTCACAAGGTTAAGTGCAGTTTTAAGTATTTCTTCAGTAGTTCCATTTGATATTCTTCTGCCTGTATTACATAACAGTATCTGACAGTTTTATTCACTTTATCAATTAAGATTATCAACACAAGTATAATAATCTAATACATAGATGTCTTATTATGGATTTTGCTACTTGGCAAAGCATAAAGTATTTAAAATTTGAAATTATAATCCAACAACATAATGTGTGTCATTCTAAAATGGGTCATTCTTAAAGAATACTTTTACTTTTGCTACTTATAGTAAATGCTGATGCAAATACTTGATCTTAGGTAAAATTTTAGGGGTTTGGACTTATTTAAGAGT